TTTTTTTTTTTCTTTTTTTTTTTTTTTTTTAGTTTGAGGGGTTTTGTAATTAAATGTGTATTGTTCAGTACTGATGTTTAAAAAAAGAAGTTGCAACGTATAAATAGCCAAAAAACTGAACAATTAGCACAGGTAACTTTTGACAAGGAAATGTGAAACCCTTGATTAAGTACGCTCATTGTCGTGTTTTTGCTACCCAATTCAAAAGAGCTGTTCCTTCGAATAATAATCCGTGGCCCAGGCCAGCTCTTCTCTAGCAGTTTATTCTGTTTCAGCAATAACGAAGCCCAGCTGTCAGCACAAGGCACACGACTTCCCGGAGGAATGTCATCTTCTCCCGCAGTGTTGTAGCTGCCATTCCTCCCTGGAGGTGGTCTTACCTTTCATCCAACAGTCTCTGCACTCATCTATCGCTCTGGTGTGCCGCTGCTTCTCCCATTTGGGTAGGTCATGCTCTACTTCCTGATGCTCACGCCTCACAATCTTGACAGTGTCTCATTAGGATGTCTGTGTAATAGTCCTAACTCCTGAAGGAACAGGGGAGTGTGGGAGACTGAACGTAAGTGAAGGTAGGAATGAGATTTGCAAGCGTTTGTTTTCTTTCTGCTTTCCCCTTATTTCCTATTAAGCATTGCAGTTGTTCGTGCTGTTAGTTCAATGGTTCAGACTATAATGTTCCTCAAATTAGGAATGTCCAAAGGCTCAGTCTTATCAGGAGGTCATTTAATAAATAACGCCCCCCCCCCAAAAAACCTGGAAATAAGTTTCTAGACGGAGGCAATGAAATGTTTTGCAGCTGATTAAGAACTCCTGCTCCTCCTGCCTCTTCCAAGTGATATTTATGAGTGAAATTGCTTGAGGAAAGGGGGCCCGTGCGTCAGTGGAGCCCCAGGGATCCATTTTTGCAAGGTCCTGAACACCGTCAACGCCCACTGACTTTAATACAATTTCAGGGGACCTGGCAAAGGAGATTTAGTGGTGCAGTGGGACCCGGGCAGGACCTCCATCCATTGGTGACTTTCACTCTGACTGCAGACGCCGTCTCTCTTCCCCTCTCTTGGTTCTTAGTAACTGAAAAAGATCTCCCTTCATCAGTGTCCCTGTACTTTCCCTTTGCAAGAGCTTGGGAAATTCAGACGTATGTTAAATAGTGCAAAATCTTGACTCTGTATCTCTGCATGTTGTGCATTAGGTCTTTAATGTGCTATCTTTAAAAAAAAACTTAAAGGGTGATTATTCACTATGAAAAGTGGAAATTCGCATCCAGGACCATTGACTCTGCCTGCTTCATTATGTGATTTACTTGACATAAATAGCTGGCTTAAAAAAAGCCGTCCAGATTAAAGCCTCCGTCATCAATAGGTACATCCTTTATGTGGATGGTCGCTTGCCTACTGGTAACAGAAGCACACTGAATAAATATGTGAAATCTGGTCCCAGCTTGTTTGCCTAGGACTCAATCCATGCAGTCGCAGCAGCTGGGAGCAGGGAAAAAAAAATGAAACAATTTGCTTACTTCACTACTGTAGCAAATGACTGTGTTGACAAGGTCACCATCATCCATGCCACAGCCAACTTCTGCAAATCTCCTGGCATTTGCATGATGACGTCTGGAAAAACCTCATTAAGTATCAGGCTCATAATTTTATCTCCTGATCTGTTTAATAAGCAATTTATTTTTAAATTAAGAGTTCAGTATGTTTTCAATTTTATGCAGAAAAATGGTGTGCTTTTTTTTTGGTGAATGATAGGCATGGCTGTCCTTACAACAATTGTATGATGAAAAGTAACTCTTCAGTCAGGTACCAAACAATCAGAAGTTAGTTATCAGAAGCTAGTTATTCTATTGTTTACAATATAAGTGATCGACAACTTTTATTCTGGATCATACTGTCTCAGTAATAATCAGTATAATGGAGAGATAATTAGTGGTTATTATTTAATTTAAACAAATGTAGAAAAACTTTAAAAAGGTGTGCATTGAACTAGTAAGATTATTAAAATTCCAGATATTACTTGACATATTTAATGTGCTCAGTACAAATAATATTTTAGGGAAAACTTTGTTGATCAAAGATGGGTTTAATCATTTCAATGTTTATGGATTTGTTTCTAAAATATTTTTAATTGGGTATTGTCAGGCTTTCTAATTATAATTCTGTAGTCATTAGCATTTCAATACATCATATTTCCAAATCTTTTGGACATAAAAGTTATTATTTTTTTTTATCATGGATCTAGTAATCTTTTCTTGCTGCCACTATTTTTCAATAATTTGATTAGGTCTTACAAGAAAAGCAACAGCAACCACAAGGGAGTTTGCTAGTAATGATACACTGTGCATTTCTTCTCCAAAAGCAGCTCTGATGCCTTTGAAAGTAATTTGTAGTTTCTTATCTGTACAGAATTACGGAGTAATAGTGTCGAATTTGTTAAGTTTAGTGGAACGCAGTGTCGCAGAATTCATTTAGAGAATGCTTGGAGTCTTGTATTACAGGACCCCATTTTAGACTACAAAAGTGAATTTTTGAATTTCTTAGTTACTTTTGGCAATAATAACAATTCCCAAAGATGGATAGGTCAATAGTTTAATAATTTGCTAGTGAGATGTACATTTTGCACACTCCTAAGCATCGTTCTAGTTTATAATTCAGCAAGCTGCAGTTTATATTCCTATTGCAAACACTTATCTAGACATTTCAAACCAAGCCTGAGCACATTATGTATGTTTCAAGGCAAAGGCATAAATCCAATGTGATGATCTCTTTTCCTGGCAAAGTTCTCTCCTACTTTCAATACAACCAAAAACAGCTTACTGTTGATCATTTCAACATAACTCCTTGTAACAGTCACCATGCCATCACAGCTAGGTATAAAGACAGCCCTTGGGGAAAAATGCTGCCTATTTGATGACATTTGAAGCTTTAAAGAATCCCTTCCAGATATGGCAGACAATATTCATGATCACTCATAGGCTATTGGTGTTAATGATTGAAACCAGAGTGATTAAAACCCAGGCAATATTACCATTAAAACTAGTTGAACAATTTTATGGGCCCGATCTTGCAAATTGTTATTCGTGTCAGCAGTTCCATGAGCTGCAACAGAACTACGAGCGAGAGTAAAAGCTACTCTCACGGATGAGCTTTGGGTGATTCTGCCCTATAACTGGGGGAATGACCCTTTATGTTGACTTCAACAAGGTAAAAAATGAAAACCAATTTAAACTCTACGCCACTATTTTACTTCCTCTTTTCAGATTCTAACGTGTCATGAGAGAACGAAGGCATAAAGCTCCTTTGACTTTTAAAATGGATATTACTATGCAAATATAAGCAGATAATGCTGTTTTAGTAGAGGAAATAAATCATATGTCATTTATTAAACCAACAATAAGGTACCTGGACTATATTATTACAATAGAAGCGTAGGAGACCAACAGTTGTACAGTTGAAACCCTTTCGCAAAATGTCTATGTTCATCCGCAGATTTAAAGAAGTTTAGCGTTACGATGCGTTCACAATAGTTGCTTCTTGTTAATCTTCCCCCTTATTAAGGCTAAATGATTTCAATTAAAAGATAAAAGTACTGTTAGAAAGTTTTATACCACACTCTGTTTTATGAGATTTTAACTGAAAGACATACATTATACCTGTCTGCGACTCATAATGGCTTCTCAGCAGGGAATGCAGAACCACTTACAGTACATAAACATTTAAGAAGGAGAATGCTAATACACTGAAAGAGTTAAACATCGGTAGCAATCTATCGAAGGAAGAAGTGTCAGAAAGTCCACGCTCTGGGAGCACATTCACCATGTGAGAAAAGCCTGGCATCCTTGTTAGTCTGAAGTTCATTTCATTTGGAAACCAAAACCATTAAATGAGATAAATAGTATCTTAAGAAAACCGCCATCTTCCTTCGCAGGGAAAGGCCAGAATCAAAATAATAATAATACTTAAAAATAATCCAAACAGGTTGCTTTACAGGCAAATTTACATACCGTCTCTTTAAAACACCGCATGCCCAAAAGCCTTTTGGGTTTGGAATGTAGCACTGCCTCGCGTATTTCACCGAGCCTCTAAATCTCACCAGAAGCTTTTTGAAACAATTCCAGTTGAAGGAAACTGTTTGAGCAGAGTGCCTCAACTTAGCTCGTAGAACTGGAATTTCAGATAAACAACAGAGGACAGGGAACAGATTTTTTTTTTTTTAAACGTGTCCTTTAGTTACGCAGCTACAAGGTTTCTGATGAACTTAAGAACAAGCAGAGAGAGAGTGCGATTGCCATCAGAATAAGCAGTGTGCTTAGATTGAAGCTTCTAGGGAGGGCGAATGAATTCTCTGCAGATATGTGACTGGTGGAGACTCCTGCTGTGCTGTCTTTCCCAATAGCGTTCTGCAAAAGACAAGACACTTTCCTGGGTCACTGCTAAGCATTTTCATTATACTGTAAAATATTTAGACGGGCTTCATAACATTCAGCTTTTGTTTGTCAGCCCCTTGCCCTCTAGCGTCATGTATTTCCCCGTCCTCAATTTAAATATATGAGGGGCATAAAACAGAATATGAAAAAGACAGCACTATAAACATGGGCTCCAGTTGTAACACCCACGGCACTTTTAGGGGATGCCATCAGCATAGTTAGGCCAAAGAAATAAGAGTAAATAAAAAAAGATGACACACTGAGCGTGGGCCCATCTGGAAGGGCTACTCTTCTGAGAGAAAGCAGCATTTGAAAGAGATCTGTATTCAACGTGGAAATTCATTTCTACAGAGCAGATGCTACGCTTGTAATGGGGCCCATCTTCTGCAGTCAACAGAAAAGACTGATTAAAAACAAAGCACTGCTGGGATTGCAAGAGCCGGTGGGACCACCATCACAGTAGCTTTATGCTTGGGCCCATCAGCCCTGCCACCATCTATTTCCCTCCTTTTGTCATTTTTGCCCTAGTTATGCTTTTCCTCCTCCAGTGGTGCTGCAGTGACATACTATAGGCAGCCTTCATGTGCACCTCGAGAACAAAAGTGGACTTGACAGAGTATAGATCTGGCAAGGAATGGGTAGGCACAAGAAGGGGGGAGCATACGAGCAGTAGTACTCCTCTGCTTGACCCCAGTAAATGGCTAAGCAATACCATAGGTATTACTGTCAGTCAAACCAGTATGGGGGCAAGGGAGAGGGGAACTAGCCTTCTCAAAGCAGGAGGGACAGGGTGGGCCAAAAAGCCATCGTGGATGGATGTGGCAGGCATACCTCAGACATGATATCTGCTCAGAGGGGGGGGTCTCAGTTTGTACGGTACTGCATTCTCCCCACAGCCCCAGGAAGAACACTGGGGTAAGTCTCCACAGTTCTCCTTACTTGCAATCAGTCAGTTTATCGGTTCCTAACTAGCTAACTAAACTTAGACAGTCTTCCTTAATAACTGCGACATATTAAGAGGCAACATATACCTTTACAGCTATACAATTAAAAACAAATGCAGTGTATTTTAGGGCCTACTGAAGGAAAACAGGCCTCTCAGTCTTTACAGAAGTTCGTGTACCATGCTATTGGACTTTACTTATGTCCAGCAGAAAATTAAAAATTAAAGTGTGATCTAAAGAGCTGAGACTGCAACATGGAGCTCTCATCATCTGGACCAGACCAGTAGGGCCAAAAAGCTTTGACCGTCTGACATTTATTTAGTGGCTTTAACAGTGGAGTTGTTGTTTGGTCGTCCTCCAAATGACAGCCACCCTGCCATGCAACTGCCGTTTTTGGCACTTGTGCAGTTTGCAGTCTTATTCTGTGTTGAGTATGGACACACGTGTGCAACTACTGCACATGCTCAGCAGGCTGTGTGCTGCCTGGACAGGTACACGCATATTTGGGTGGACCTAAGTCACAAAACAGTGGCAGCAATAGGGCACTCTCATGTTTTAGTTCAGTAGCCTAGTCATTAGGGCACTTGCCCAGGAAACAAGAGACCATGTTCTAGACCTGCCTAAACTAGAAAGGGCTTAAACCTGGATCTCTCCAACATCATAGCATAGCACCCTACCCACCAGGCCAGAGGTTGTCTAGGCCCCTCTCCAGTCCTTCTTTTGAAGCTGCCCCCTAAAGCCAAGAGATGGTGCTTTGTGGGGCCAGGAGAAGGAGTATAAGCTAGAGGGTGATTGGCATAAAGAGATGGATACTGCTCTGGAAAGAAGATGGGCCTGGGTCTTTGTTCCCAGTAGAGCAGATGCTTCTCCACTTCTTTTAGCCAAAGACCAAGAGCTTGAGAAGGGTTTTCTTAATGACTACTCTGCGAGCTAGTGGCTGGAGCACTGTGCTAGCAAGTGGGAGAAATACTGGTTCAAACCTCCTCCCAGGGGCAAGGGGGCTTTGAATTTGGGTCTGTTGCTTCCTGGGGGAGTGCCCTAACCACTAGGCTACTGGACTACTACGTAGGAAAGGCACTTCTCCCTGGCTTTTGCTGGATTTAATTGCATGACTTACACTCAGGTATATATATGCGTGGAGCCACACACCTGCTTGGCCAGGGGGCAGTATCCACGTAGACACTTGTGCATCCACATTGTATGTGGAATAGGGTCACAAACACTGCATTAGTGCCAAGAATCATAGCTATGTAGTTTGGGTAACTGCCAAGTGAGCATGCCGAATGAAACAGGATTCTGCCCCAGCTTTCCACACAGTAAAAACACCATCACAGTTCCACTAATGGGACTGCCCAGAGTCTCAGTAGAAAGGCTGCAGCCTGATAGGCATGGAAACTGAACTAATCTCTCACCTCTGGGGGTGGTCCCCTACGGGTAAGAGTTCAGACTGCCTGGTGGAAAAGCATAGGGGAAGGCTTCTCGTCTCCAGGGGCTGTCAATCTGCCTCTGGATCTATTACGGGAGTGGTATTTCATTTACTCTAAATCAGTCTACTGTCAGCCATAAAATGAAGTCTACTGTATTTCTAGGTCTTGGTAAATGCCATATGATTACATGTTCCCGCATATTATTAACTAATTACACTTCCAAGATGCAGCAGTAATTACCATGTAACCTGCAAAATCATGTACTACATGGTAATTAAAATGTTGTTACATCACCACTGTATGGTACAAAGGTAATGGCTACCTTGGGCCCAATTCTGAGCTCCTGATTCAGGCAAAGCTCCTTTTATTTTGAGAACCTGGTGCAGTCGTGATCAGATCGATGGTAGTTTTGTCTAAATAAATACTTCAGGAGTTAGTCGGGGGCTGCTATATTAGAGTGATATTTCTGCTCCGAACTATAAAGTACTATTTTAATATGTCTCACATTCTTACCTCGTAACAGAGGTCAGTGTCGACAGATGCATTGGATTTTTGCTTCTGTACCTATAGACAAATGCAAAAATTATTCAGTGCATGTTCTTATACACATAATACAACAGACAGTTCTGTTTGACTAAATTCTGCCTGATTGGTTGGCTTCGTAGTTCTATGACACTATGATAAATGATTATGAATCAAAAGCAAATAACAAAACTGCCTTCTTGATGTAACAGCACCATTTCAAACAATTTGCAGTTCTAATCCATGCTTAGAATTTGCAATAAAACTTTGAAGCAGTCTATAAGACTAAGAGTTTTGAGGCACAGCCTTTACAGTGAGCAGTGTCATATAAATGCCTATGTATGCTCTCTCGCTCTGTTATATATATTAAACAAAACACAGTTCTGTAGAGTATACATAAAAAAGTCATGTTTGGTCCTCATGGGGAGGTACAGAATTGTGCTCTTCAAGAAATATTAACTAGGACGTGTGCACTTTTGCTAGGAAATCTCGAGTTTTGACTACGGCACTTTTAATACTTATGTAAAAACACATCTTTTAAAATGTTTTATTTCTACTAATATTTCGAATTTCCTTTCAGATGTTCAAGTGACTGGTAAAAGCATACACTGGGTTTTCACTGCATTGCAGTCACAGGATCTGTTCCAGATGCCTATAAGACTTTGCAACAAGAATTTCCCTCAACCTATGTAACTATAAATCAAACTGCATAGTACAGTTACATTAGGTTTACTGATTTTTAAACAAGGGAACATTTTAGGTGATTTTTAGGTCTCCAAAAAAAAAGGAGCCTACAAAATAAAAAGAATCGAGGATCCCTAAGGCATTTCTTGTCGTGGTAAACATCTTCTATCTGTTACTGACTATTGGCCCTGTCCCTGCCCCATTACCCAAGTAAGCCATGCTTGTGATGGCAGCATCACAGAAAGACCTACAAAGCAGCAGCACACTACCTAGCATCAGAAGGTGATTAATGTTTCTGTTGCTGATGGGATGAACTGGCTCAGCTGAGAGTTCTTCTGCTCTCCTCTAATAGCAATAGTAATATCCATGGTGCTGAAAACATTTCCAATACACAGTGTTTGTGGCCGATTTAAGTGCTCTAGTGAGCAACATGCACTGTTTTTTTCTTTGCATATTTCAGAAACATAAACACGACTCAATAAACCACTTGTTTAGATATATATTTAAGTCATCTTCTAATGGAAAAATCTCTGAAATCTGGGGTTTTCAAACCTAAATGAGTCACTGGCCAGAGCCCATCCTGTAACAGCTTCTTCTCCCTTTGGAAGTTCCATCAAAATAGTAATTTGGTTTTTGCAGAACAACACAGATCCAATCTTCCACTGGGTTGTATCCGCTTTTTTGCTCCTGGAGCTCAGATTTCAGTGGAGCTAGCTCAGTCTAAACCTGAAGAAATGTCACGCTGAATAAGGCCACCAATAAATACGTAGCATTTTTTTAACCACACCGTATATACTTTTATACACACTTTAAAAACAGACTGAGTTTCCAGGGCAGCTGCCTTATTAAGATATCCAAATCCTTCACCTGTAGTTTCCATTAGAAAATTTGACATTTATTATTTGAAAATGGCATTTGAGCCTAAATATTGATCTGGGAATCCAAAATGCAAGATCTGAACCTCTAATTAAGAACCAAGCTTGTTGCTCTCTTGTGTATTGGTGAATATCCATGTTAAGATATAAAATTAACTCCTTTCATCTTGTGGACAATACAAGATTAAAAACAGTGAAAAACTAAGGGCAAAGGCGCATCTTGTAAAAATACACAGAGTGTACATATATACACACATACATACATACATATATATATATATATACACACATATATATATACAGACACACACACATACATATATATATACAGACACACACATACACATACATATATATATATAGTGTCAGCTTTAGAGGTGTGTGATCAAACAGTAGCACAGTTCATTAATAAATACCTCTCTACAAACTGTCTCCTATATACCCTTCCAGTCTACCACACAAATTATTTTAATACTAACAAGCAAACTAGAATATTAAGGCTAAGTATAACCTTAGGTGCCTAGATGGAAAAAAAGGAATCTGGACAAGGGAATTTGCTCTAACAAGCACCTTTCCTTTTGGGTGCTATTTACTCAGATTAAAAGTGACTCTTCTTTTGGTGACAGCCGTACTGATTTCACTTCTCACTGGCTTGCTACAAGGGAAAACCAGACAGGCAAAAAGAACCCAAATTGAATCTTAATTCTCTTTCTTTTTCATTACCCACTCCCACTGCATCCAATGGCAAAGAGAGCTTGTGAAGAAGGCCTGGAACTGTGGTTCTTGTAGTACACACCGCAAAAAGTTTTCTTTGGTCGCTCCTGGCTATATGTTGCATTTTGAAGCCCACACAAGTTTCTGCCTATTGTTTGCAATGTACTTCTTAACAGGATGCTCCAGGTTTGGGTTATAGACGTCTACACAACCTACAATACTACTATTTCCAATTAGGTTCTGCTTCATGCCAAGAACTAAATTGTTGTTCAACTTAGGACTAAATGTATCCATCCAAATGAGGAAGAGAGAACAATGCTATCAGTTTTTGTTGTAGACTCAGTCCCTTCTTCACTCTGTTTAACTTGAAAAATAACACAAGTGAAGCAGATAGCTGTGACTAAAACACAGCAAATATATCTGCATTTCAGACAACTGTTTTTTAAGTAAATTCGACAGCAAGGTGTACGAAATGGAAACCTACATAAACAACAAAAGGTTTCAGTACTTCTGATTAGCGTTCCCTTGTTTTAAGTTGACAAGAGATATTTATCTATGTCTGTTTGTTTAATGGGAACCATTTTATCATCAGCAACATTTATTTACAGTCTGTTGGAGAAATTCCTTCTCCCTCCCAATTTTCAAGTCATTTTAACAATCAAGTGTTTTTTTTCTGCCATCAAGACATAAGGGTTAATTTCCGTCATTTCAAAATAAAACAATGCACCTTCCTTATGTTGAAGGGGGAGAATTGCTGGAAAAAAAAGATTAGTTTCCAGGATGAGACATTATATGCCAAGTTTCAAATTGAAAGAGTACATTTTTACTGCTGAGTTATAAACCTGTAAAAAGGGGTTATAATGGAAATGCTGGCATAGGCTGCACTACTATAATATAACAGTGCATCATTAAATCACAAGTAATGGTGGGGTTGGGGGAGGGTGGGTGGAAACTGTGCAGAAGAAAGCTTATGTCCAGTAATGACAACTTAAGGGGAAAATCCTTCCGGTCCCATTCCCAGGCCAAAGGGACCTAAAACTGCTGTAGTTGTGGCTCATGGGAAGAGAACGCTTTTTGGGGAGACAGCTCAGGGCTTAGATGCCTGACCGCCTTAGTGGATACACATCCCTATGGGTATGTACGATTCAGAAACGAGGGACCAGGGGATTTCTTGTGTATCTTATAAAGTTATCCAATACTTTACAGTTTTATAGATAAAGGATTAGAAGACTGGGGAGAGGGGAGGGCTCAAGCTTCTGAACGAGGGAATCTCTGCATCCCGACATGAGCATCTGCAGGAAGAGAGATGTATATCTGTATACCATGCAGGCTACTACAGATCCCATCTACTGTAAGCCCCAGCTTCTTCAGGTCAGTGTAATTTCGTACCTGATATACAAGCCACAAGAGTTGTCCTTACGGCATTAAAAGAAACCTTTTCTGATGACAGCAAAACCGAAGCAGTACACAGCACACACAATGTATTTCAATCCTGCCACACGGAAGTGTGTGAGTTTTCTCTCTGGCCACAATGAGAAAGAGCTGGACTCATTAAAAAAAAATCGGTGTAAAAGAAAGGTTAAAATAGCTAGTTAAAAAATAGTACTTCTCAGGCTCGAGAACTTTGTTACTGGGTAAAAAAAACCATGGGCTAATGCTTTACTTAGCTGAGACATGCTGCTGAAAGTAAAATTAAGACTTAGAGGTAATACAGCAACTGAGCTTGGAAAGCCAAATTACTGTCCTCCTTTTCTTACTGCAAAAACAAGCAGTAACTTCGTTTAAATGGAATTTCTAAACCCACCAATCCAGCAGTAAGAGATGGGTTGAATGATAAGTGGCTTTGCAGGGAATGCTTAGCCTACTTGACTGTACTCTGAACCGAGAGGTCCTCCAAAGAAGCTGACTCTGCTATTTCTGCATCAGTCCTGCACTAATTTACCCTCTTATGCTTTGTAAAAATGTGTCTCTTGCATTTAGAGAGCCAAGTTACTGTGGTAAAAAGCAGTGGCTAATCCTTAAGAACAAGGACACGCTCAAACTCTGTGCAATGAGTTTTTCAATACGTTGCACATCTCATAAGCCCTGTTTTGACTTAGGAGCTGGCAAGCTTTAAGCATCTCCCATAAGGAGCTGTTTGCAAACCAGTGTCTGGGGATTTGGGGCTGGTTTAGAAACCCTTCCCTCTGAAAACAAGCAGCAATGGCTTAATCCCAGCTGTTCTTTCTGGAGAGGAAAGAGAACCAGACATGCTTTCACAGATCAGTCTAGGTACGGCTAAACAGGCTTCTCTTTTAGCTTGTCTCAAGCCCCTGTCTCAGGGTGGGACTACTGAATCGCTCCGTTTTCCCCCCAGACCAGTGTCTTTTCCAAATGGGCTGTTCCCGATGTATCAATCAATCAAACACCCTCTTACCCTCTCATCTAAAGCCTGCTCCAGCCTCCCACTCAGTGACCTATATAAAATCTTCCAGACCAGATAAAAGCCTTCTGCTACTGCCCCAAACCCACACAACCCACCAAAGCCACACTTCCCCATCTCTTGCAGTCCATGGAACCATGGCTCGTTTCCCAGGAAAATTCAGTAACATGTTGGCAACTACATACCTTGCAATTAAAAAGTCAGACTTCCCCCAAATCACAGCACCACAGGTTTAATAAATGCATTAAGCGTGGTTAATAGAATGTTACCAGGAGCCACGATGGGATGTACATTATTTATGGCTTGCAGCCCAGCAAATAATTCATACCGAATATAGCAAGCATACATTATTCGCAGTGGGTGAGCTGTCAATTCCAAAGTGAAGTGAGCTTTCATTTGGGAAGGAATTAGACCTGAATGCTAAGAAGCAAAGAATGAGCATCTGATCCTCCAGACCAGTGCCTCCTTGATAGCTGTACTCTTGAGGTTTCATGAGACATATGTATTTAAGGAATCTCATTGGTTCAGCCACTAGAAATACCACTATGACAGATACTTATTACATGCTTTTTTCTCCCCCTCTTTTTTAAAAGCCTTGTTTAATACTGTTAATAGCCAAGAACGCGAAGGGAGGACAGGGTCATCCCATTAAAATGACCAGAAAAAAGGCAGAAATTCTTTGCCTCCTCCCAACTCCTTTGGGTCGGCCACACTCCCAAAACATGCATAACAAATTATGTTACATGGGGGGGGGGTTGTTGTTTTTTTCCTTGTGTTGATTACAAGGATTTACTATGCAACCAGCCTGTTTTCTTAACAGCAGGGCACAAACAATAAGCAGAGAAATACACAGACTGTAAAAATGCAATCAGTTTAACTCTTCTGCACTCACTAAGTGCTGGCTGCATCTATCACAATTGTCAATAGTATTTTCTTATTAGCACAGCAGTACAATACCTCGCTGCAATATAAATTACTTTCAACAGGGAAAACAAGCAAAGTGCATGTCAGAGACACAGCCTATTAAAATAAAGGATCCAATTCAGCATAAAATAATTCTGAATTCTGCTCCACACGGTAAGGGTGCAATGCTATTTAAACAGTAAAAACAATAAGCTCTGCAGCTTCTCACCATGACAAAGCCAGATCATCTTTTGCTGATTCAGCCCTAGAGCTGCAAGCTTGGAGCATGGAATTATCTGCGGTCCTTTTGCCTAAAACTCTATATTTCTATCATCCCAGTTTGTGCAGCAATACATTTCAATGGCCAGTATTACCAAAACACTTCTGGTGTCAGCTGCTAGAACTTAGAACTAAATATGCCACATAGTAAAAAGATCTAATTACACATTTCGGCTGGCAGATACAAAACAAACCCCAACTTTCACCTTGTACTCCAACAAGTAACGTGGAAATACACATACACAGGAGTAGTTAGGTCTCTGGGCTGTCACTTATTAAAGCGAACAGTTTCTTAAACCAGCATAAGCTAGTCAACTAAGTTCCTTTCAAGCAGACCTTACGATGAGAGGCTGAGCACCATGGGGCTCTTCAGCCTGGAAAAGCGCAGGCTCAGGGGTGATCTGGTGGCCACCTACAAGTTTATCAGGGGTGCTCACCAGGATCTGGGGGAACGTCTGTTCACCAGAGCACCCCAAGTGATGACAAGATCGAATGGTCACAAGCTCCTCGATGACCATTTCAGGCTGGACATAAGGAAGACCTTTACTGTCCGAGCCCCCAAGGTTTGGAATAGCCTGCCGCCGGAGGTAGTTCAACCACCTACTTTGAACGCCTTCAAGACACATTTGGATGTCTATCTTGCTGGGATCCTATGACCCCTGCTGACTTCCTGCCCTTTGGGTTTGGGGGCTGGACTCGATCTTCTGAGGTCCCTTCCAGCCCTAATGTCTATGACATCTATGAAATCTAAGAAATTTCCTAATTTAGAGTCCCTGTCACTTGTAATTCCTGGCCACTTAAAAGCTCCTCTCTAAAGGTTTGCTTGCATTCTTCCCCATTGCACTCCTACCACAGCTGGGGGCTTGAGCACTCCTGAAAGGGCTGACTGGTTTCCAACTTCTCAAGCACAGTTTGGACAACTCCGAATGTGCTAGCTTCACAGGCCATGCAGATTACCTGCAAATTCTTCTTTCTCCTCTGTAAAGGAGAACCACGCTTTTTCTTTTCAATAAGAAATGATATTTGTCTAGGCTAGTGTCAGAAGGAAAGCAACTCCCACAACCACAAAGGAAAGAGGTCTTGGTTAAAAGGGGATAAAAGATCTGTTAAGGGACCCCTTCTTTCTTCAGGTTGGGAGATGGGCAGGAAGGAGAGCTGGTTGGAAGAGCTCAATAAGCAGTCTGTCCTCATGGGACAAGGAAAAGGGGTATATTTTTGCCCCACCCTTCCCAACTGCTTCCGCCACCTCACTCATGAGACCAGAGTAGTTCTGAGTTTTTGTGCCCTACTATGGACATGACACTTGTCAACCCATTTTTGGGACTGGGGAGGAATATTCCCTTGGCAACAGACTGGCAAGGGTTGGACTTTTTTTTTTAATCCATTTTCCCCCCTCCAGTTCTAAAAGCCAATCAGTAGTTCAAGAGGTATGGCTTAAGCTATTACAGCACAACAGATGACAGATATCCAGTATAGGTACTTACTCCAAACAGGATCGTGAAATTATTGCTTCTCAACTCTTTGGGTTGCGACCCAAAAGTGGGTCACGAGAATATTTCGAAGGGTTGCAAGCAATCAGAAAAACACAGGAAAGCATGGGTTTCTCCTTGCAGGCTAGCAGCGTTCCAGCCTGCAAGGGGCTGCTTGGGGCTAGGGGGGTGCGGACACAGGGGGCACCATGTCTATGTGCTCTTGCACACGTGTGTGGCAGCCAGGTAGGGTAGAGAGCAGCTTCCACAGCTCTCCACAGGTAAGTCTATGGGGGGGCAGAGACGATGTGTTGGGAGGGCAGGGGGGGACATAGAAGACATGTCAGGGGCCATGTCCCCGCCCCCCCGAATTATGCAGGCAGGTAAGTCTCTGGGGCTGGGGAGGTGGGTGTGTGGGGTGGGGGATTATGGGGCATGTGCCCCCCAGATTTGTGTGGGCACAGGGCTGCAGCCCGGCCAGACAAGCACAGGCAGGAGCTGCTTCTGCGGCCCAGCTGATGGGTCCCAGCACGGGAGGGTTGAGTGGGTCAGCGAGACTAGTTGCTGGCAGCTGGGCCATGGAGGTGGGGTAGAGCTGTCACCCAGTATGCAAGCAGCTGGCAGTGGGAGAAGTTGGGGGCAGTGTGAATTTCCACCCCTCCCCGTTACTCCTCATGCTGCTAGCAGCAGCTGGTGAGGGGATCACAGCAGCAGCAGCAACTAGTCTCACTGTCCCGCTCCACCATCTCATGCTGGGACCCACCCACTGGGCCACAGAGGCGGCAGCTCCTGCCCATGCTGGTTCAGCCAGGCTGCAGCCCCATGCTCACACAAATCTGGGGAGGCACATCCCCTCCATGCCCCACATACCCAACCCGAGCCCCACACATTGCCAGGTTGGGGCCTGGGGGCATGGGGCAGCTGGTTGGGAGTGAAGGGCACTGGCAGGGCCAGGGGGCTGTAAGTCAGGAATGGCCACTGATGTTTATAAATGGGTCCTGGTACAAAAAAGGTTGAGAAACACTGCTCTAAATAACCCAATGATGAAAATGGATGCAAGGAAAGGCATACCCTAAAAAAGCTAGGGAAAGAAACAAGGGCACCTAACATCTTGTACACTAAGGCAACAACCCTGTTTCCCCACAATTAGGCGATGTGTGGAGAGGACCGGGGGAAGAGAACACATACCCCCCAGATTTTTGCACTGACAGCAGGGCATGGGACTGAGCTGGCCAGAGCCAGGCCTTGGCAGCAGCATGAAGTTGTACCCACCCCCACTATCAACACTTGTGCACCATCTAGGCCCATAATGAATACATACGATTAGAGGGCTGACAGCAGGCAGTGAAAATGCATCTGGAAAGATGATGACTGCACTACAGGATTATTGCTGGATAACTCCC